GTTGAATAACAAGGGAAGACTGGCAATTTCCCTAAACTGCTCAGAGTCACTTAAGTGAGATGGGCAGTGCAGAAATGTAATCAATAAAAATAAAAATCTGTTTCCATGTAGTCTGTAAGTGGATCCTGATCTTAGTTTGGACTTTCTAAAATTGTAATCCTATGGATTTCCTTGATCTGTAGCCCCAACAAAGGCATTCCAGGAATCCCATGACTTTTTTAGATGATTTACCCCAAGATTAGAGAACTAGTCCCACTTCAGAGAGAAGAAAATCAAACACTGAAAACACTTTCTCCTTAGGCCCTTGGTAGAATGCTGTGTGTCTAAAATAGATTCAGCCTTAGCCCAGCAGATTTTTCTCAGGATTTATATCAATTAATTGCTGTGTTTCTTAATGTATATCTTCACCTCTCTTACAGACCAATTGCTTAAAGGTTCACAAGTATCTGACAAGCACTTTAGGCCCATATATTGTCAACGTGACTAGGGCAACTGAGCTCTGCAGCCGTCATATCTGCAATAATCATGGCCGCTGCATTCGTCGGAGAATGGACTCTGATGCTTATTTACACCTCGATCCTAATCCTACGGATGGCATCTCCACTCTTGAGTTGGCAAATAGGACTTTAAGCCAACAGCAAAAGGTCAAGATGGAACAGGAATTCGCCTGTCATTGCTACAAGGGATGGAGTGGCAAAAGGTGCCTTTTCAAGGGGCACAGTGTGCGATTGTGGGCAGACAGTTGGTGCATTTACAGCACAGTTTTGTCTGTACTTTGGGTAAGGTATTTATGAGCCATTTGGACTAGTTATAAATATGAATATTGTGAAGCCAATGCTGTAAAGTGAATCCTGTATCATTCCGTGTGACAGAGAAGAAAGGTACAGGCATGGTGTTGGGTGATAGAGGCATTATCGAGTTGCTGTAACTCTTCCTGACTTCCCGGGATGTCCGTCTCTTGTGGTGTTTCACTAAGAAAGTTGGCACGTATGGATTAGTCCTAGTACCATTCACTGTCTATGCAGGACTTCCAATACACCAGGGATGGGCTGTTTGGGCTCTCCAGAGGTTGCTCACATATTTCTCTCAGCCAGCAATGAAGGATTGCTGGAGCCGAAGCTTAGCACTTGGGAAAGAGCACAGATTTTCTACCCGGGAGTGTTTTGGGGGTGATTTCAAAAAAAAAGTCAAGGTGATTACAACTGCATGATCACAACAACCATTTCAATATTTTTTTTTTACTTCTCCAGCAGACACTTTGTTCTACCCCAGCAATACACAAATAAGTTTCTTTTTATTTTCTAAACTTCCTCACCAGCATACAAGCATCCTTAATATTTGAGGTGCACGTTTTTCTAAACTGTGACAAAGACAGTAATTTCCTATTACCTTTTGTTAAATCAAAACTGATCTAAGCACATTATTTATATGCAGAGCAAACCTTTCCTACTTGAACCAACTAGGTGTCCTCCAAAATGTGATTGGTGCTGTTTAATTGAAATATATGTATGTAGGTAAATATGTGTACTTGTCAGGCTACCTCTCTTATCAAGGGATGGGGGAGAGAAAACTTAATTTTTTTAAATTAAATATTTTTCATGTGACCCTCAGTGCCTTAATGCTTCATTCTTTTATAATGCTACATACTGGAAGCCGGAAATATCTTTCATCTTGATCAGCCATGAAAAGTTTTGATTTATATGAGTTGACTCTCACGACCATTTGTCTTGTCACCTGAAAACACTCAAATCTTTAATTTCTTCCTCCTTTCTTTGTCCTGTATACTGATGGTGTTGCTACATCCCTGCCATTGGTTTAAAGCAGAGTTGTCAAACTCACTTTCATTGAGGGCCGCATTAGCATTATGGTTGCCCTCAAAGGGTCAATTGCTATCCCCTTCTCTCCCTCAGGCTTTGCCCCACAGAAGCCTCTCCTATCCTATCCCCTTCTCTCCCACAGGGTTTGCCCCACAGAAGCCTCTCCTATCCTATCCCCTTCTCTCCCACAGGGTTTGCCCCACAGAAGCCTCTCCTATCCTATCCCCTTCTCTCCCACAGGGTTTGCCCCACAGAAGCCTCTCCTATCCTATCCCCTCTCCCACAGGGTTTGCCCCACAGAAGCCTCTCCTATCCTATCCCCTTCTCTCCCCCCTCATTCCTTCTCTCCTCTTCCTGCCAAACCCTCTCTTTTTTATATCCTCTCCCATGTATTCACTCACTGCCCGGCTGGCCTTTTCTCGCAGTGCTCATCAACTGGAGCTGCGTGCACTGATTCTGGGGTCCCCACCAAGCCCCAGCAGCTCCAGCTGGCTCTTCCCCCGAAGACTGCCTGCAGCTGCTAGCCACCCCCAAGGCCGCCCGAAGCCTCAATCAGCTGGAGCTGTGTGCGCCGATCCCGGGGCCTCAACAGAGCCTGAGCAACACTGCAGCTCCAGCTGACTCTCCTCCAGGCCTCTCTGGCACTGCCGCACTTCTACTAAGTCTGTTTGTGGGCCAGATCTAAACACATCATGGGCTAGATCTGGCCCTCGAGACTTGAGTTTGACATGTCTGCTCTAAAGGCATTGGAATACTTTGGACCAGTCACTCTCATTCAGCCCAACCTACATCACACAATAATCAAAAATTTGAAATTGGAGAGAGAAGGTTGACATGCTGCATCTAGAGGAAAAATGGGCTGGAAAACTCTTCCGGTTGACAAGAAGAAATTCAGCAGGTGCAGCCTTCAGCTTTAACAGCATCCCTTTAACAAGGAAAAACAGGTCTTGTTTCCAATCAGCTTGACACATATGTGGGTCCTCAAGGAACAGGTTGCAGCTTTAAAAGCAACCCAGTGTTGCTCTAAGGACCACATTCAGATGATACAGACAAATGCGGATAGAGTCGCTTTGCAGGGTGAATGTGTCTGATGAGAAATTCAATGCACATTCAGACTGCAGAGTTTGGATCATGTTGGAGCCTTGAAATGTGCAATCCAATGAATGAGTCATAGCATGATTTCACCAACATAACAGAGGGGAGGGCTGCTCACTCTCTGCTACTGCTCCATGTGATCAGGGCAATATTTATGTGCAAGGCCTTTATGCAAGGAGGCTTTTGCAGATAACCAAGGCCCTCTGTTGCATACCGGCCAATTTTTGCAACCTGGTAGAACCTAACCCCCTCCCTTTGCCTCTTGTGAAGGTGATGAGATTAATGCTTACACATTCCTGCTAAGATGGGAGTCATTAAGACAGCATTTAACTCTGGTTGCCAAACATTTCTTTTTTTCTGGGGTTGGTCTTTGTTTCTTTGCTCTTGACTTCCTTCTCCCGCATTCCTGATGGAAAAGTTGTATTTGTGTTAGCAAGCTAGTTATGGCAGCCTCAAGAGATTCATACTTTATATATCCTATATAACTACTGTCATACATACCAACATTTGCAATCTAAACACAATAAAGTGTATTGGTGTTGGTGGTGGTTTGTTCTTTGAACTTGCTGTTTGGCTTCCCATTTTGTCACCAGGATAGGTAACATCATCAGCGGAACTTGGGTTGAAGCATCTTGATTCAACAGCAAGCTCGGAGAACAAACCACCACCCTCTGTCACCCAAGCTACAGATATTTTCTATCATCTCTAAAGTGTATTGGATAGGAATGGATTTCTGAGCCACGTACCCATGGCTTGGGACAATGGTATCTCCCCTCCTTCTTCGTATACAACCATTCTGTGCTTTAAGAGACCTAGAGGCAGATGCCATGACAAACATCACTAAAGTACAAAATATAAGTTAATAAGGAAATTAAAAAAAAGTGCAGAAAAGCATACATTTGTTCATATAGGGTGGAGAACAGTAATACTGTTTTTAATCACAGAGACAGATGGAGGGTGGGGGTATTGATAGGTATCCATAGAAGAAAACAAGCCACTGGCTCCAAATTCTTGGTTATCAGATGCACCCATGCTCACGTGCTGGGATGACTGTTAACAGCCTGAACTGAGCCCTTGTGTGCAATGCTGCAGAAAAGGAATTAGCTTAATGCTAATCTGGTGTCCACAGAACATGAACTGAAGTACAGTATTAGCAAAGAAGTAGAGTTGCAGTTGTGCCATGGGAGCACAATGCTACTTATTGCACAGTGCGCAGGCTGCAAATTTAATCCAGGTCCCATACCCTGCCACTCTCCGTAAGCGAAGATGTTTATTAAGTTATTGGATTGTTGATGAAGATACGGTAGCTGTGGCCTACATATATTCATGCCTAAAATAAGAGAGCCCTACCTAATTAATTGGCTGTTTTTGCTCAGAGCAGGGATTCTGAAATGAGCAGTTTGTACATGAATTAGAATTGATTCCAACCTCTTCTTTTGGAGAAGAGCAGCTCTTG